GGTGACGGCCGCTGCCTACAAAAGCTCCTGCTGCCGCCGCGGAGCCACTGTGCCACTGCCGCTGGCCTCTCTTTGTTTTAGTGCCTTGTAAATAGCGAGAGCTTCATCTTTCTGCTCTCCACCACATCACAGGTCACTGCATGTCCATCCCCATCCCTGGGAAAACTCAGAGTCTTGCACCCTTTTATACCTCAGAGCAGCCAGTGCTTTCTGTCCTAGGACCACCCCCCTCCACCTGGGTGACAAAGGCCATCACCTAGTGAAGGCTTCTCCCTGAAGCACCTTCTCTGTCATCCTAAACGTCCACCCTCTCTTCTGCTTCAAGGCCCAGAAGAATCCTTGAGTTCATTGGATCCATTCTCCACATTCTCCTTGGTTATTCTGCATCCGGTACCCAGTCATGAACCCTCTTGAACCACTGCCCCAAACAGGATATCAAGATCCGACACCCAACTTAATCTGTCGCATCCAGTGAGGCCAGAAAGAGCTCTGGGTCAGTGATGATGAGGATCACAGGGACATCTCAAGGTTGCAGGACCTGCTGCCTGGTGAGTTGTGTGGTACAAATACGATTAGAGGTCAGACATAATGATTGAATTTAGACATAGTGCTTTCTTTGCAAAATGCTTCTGTATTCGACATGGCTTGCAAATGGCTTCCGCATTAGCTTCTGCACATAGATTGAAGACATAAGCTATAAAAAGACCCTCGGACAAAGACCGGGGGTCGACTCTGCTTTGGGCTACTAGCCCCCTAGTCAATCTTGTTTGCGCAAACAATACATTTGAAATGGACCCAGCTTGAGTGTGTGACTCTCTCCTTGAGGTCAATCGGAAAAGCCTCTGGGGGCACGAAACTAGCCGTTTGGGCAACAGTTGTGGCCATCCCATCCCCTGACCCCCCACTCACAAATGCTCCATGCCCACAGTGACAGGGGCCCTGGAGCCTGCAGACCGGTCCTGCGCTGCCTTTGCAAGATGCTGACCTCAAATAGCTTCTGCTGTCATGGCAGATGGTTTTCCCATGCCCTGAAATTCCAAGGTGTGTAGAAGAGCAACCATTCCCTTCTCCCCCAGACTACAGCTGCTAGGGAACAGCCGAGTTTGCTGTCTTGATGATTAGGCACAGGTTTCATTTCCCTGGGATACCATGATCTTAGATTTCTATATTTGTTCAGCCGTGTAACAGTTAATTCCCCAACCTAAGGTACCCATACCTCTGTAACACCCTCTCCCAAGGTAGAGTGGGATATGTAGTCCCCCATGGAAATCAGCACAGTGGGTCAAAGCTCCATTGTGCCATTATTATTAGACAAGAGAGAGGCTGGAGACATCCTGGTTGGGTCAACCTGGACCCCAGGAAGTGTTGACTCCTGATCTCTGGCTGTACTGAATGCCATGGGCTAGATGGCACTGGTCAGGGGGTAGTGAATCCCCCATGGTTTGTGCCTTTATGTTTGTCTCCAGGCCATGAGTGTCACACAGCCTGGGACTCAGCACAGAGTTCACGTTCAGGTTCATGCCAAGGCCCTAGTCCCAGGGCAGATTCTGGTGACGTGGAGGCCACCTGGCTCTCATTAGCAGAAGAAAGCCCCATGGGCTCATTCTGTGCCCCAGACCTGACCCTGAAAGCAGGTAGGAGACACAGCCCTGCTCCTTCCAGGAGTTAGAGCCACAGCTCTAAGTCTTTCCCTCCCAGAACATTTTTTGGAGCCCGGATGGGTGTTTTCCACCAAGGGAAAGATTCATAGATTCATAGAAGTAGGGTCGGAAGGGACTTTGTAGATCATCAAGTCTGACCCCCTGCCCTGGGCAGGAGAGAAAACCGGGCTCAAATGACCCTAGCCAGGTAGATACCCAGCCTCCTCTTAAAGACCCCCAGGGTAGGAGCCAGCACCACTTCCCTTGGAAGTGAGTTCCAGATCCTAGCCGCCCTGACTGTGAAGTAGTGCCTTCGAATGTCTAGTCTGAACCTACACTCTAGCAATTTGTGGCCGTTATTCTTTGTTACCCCGGGGGGCACTAGGGGGAACAGGGTCTCTCACAAACCCTGCTGGTCCCCCCCTGGGGTGTTTATAGACGGTCACCAGGTCCCCCCCTCAGCCTTCTCTTGTGAAGGCTGAATAGGTTAAGGTCCCGTAGCCTCTCTTCATAGGGTCTGCCCTGATGTCCTCAGATCATGCGGGTGGCCCTTCTCTGGACCCTCTCCATGTTGTCCACATCCCTCCTGAAGTGCGGCACCAGAACTGGATGCAGTACTCCAGCTGCGGCCTGACCACTGTCGCGTAGAGGGGGAGGATCACCTCCTTGGCCCTGCTTGAGATACATCTGTGGATGCATGACAAGGTGCAGTTAGCTCTACTGACTGTGTCCTTGCATTGGCGGCCCATGTTCATCTTGGAGTCAATAATGACTCCAAGATCTCAAGCAGGGAGTTTCCTAGCTTATAAGTGCTGCTGGTTCCTACTGCCCAAGTGCAGCACCCTGCACTTGTCAGTATTGAATCGCATCCTATTTTCGTTAGCCCACCCCTGTAACCTGTCCAGGTCCTGCTGTACTCTGTCCTTCCCTTCTAGAGTGCCCACCTCACCCCAAATCTTGGTATCATCAGCAAATTTAAACAGACTGCTTTTTACCCCGTCGTCCAAGTCACTAATAAAGAAATTGAACAGCGCGGGCCCAAGGACTGAGCCTTGGGAGACTCCACTGCCCACCTCCATCCAGGTCGAAAAAGACCCATCCACCACCACTCTCTGAGTACAACCCCTCAGCCAATTTGCAATCCATCTGACTGTGTAGGCATCAGTGCAACAGTCGCCTAGCTTTTTAATGAGAATGGGGTGGAAGACAGCGTAAAAGGCCTTGCTGAAGTCCAGAAAGACTACATCCACAGCGACACCTGCATCCAGTGATTTTGTGACCTGATCGTAGAAGGCAATCAGGTTGGTCTGACAGGACCTGCCCCTAATGAAACCGAGCTGGTTGCCCTTGAGCATCATCCCTGCTGCTGGCCCTTCACAGATGTGCTCCTTGATGATCTTCTCAAAGAGTTTCCCCAGGATTGAAGTAAGACTAATGGACCTATAGTTGCCCGGGTCCTCCCTCTTCCCTTTGCTGAAGATGTGAACCACGTTGGTTTTCTTCCAGTCATCCAGCACCTGGCCAGAGCACCATGAGTGTTCATAAAGCCATGCCAGGGGCCCCGCAATAACCCCTACCAATTCCCTCAACACCCTGGGGTGGACAGCATCTGGACCTGCTGATCTGAACATGTCCAGCCCCTCCAGAAGCACTCTAACCCAGTTCTCCCCGACCTTAGGCCTGGCAGTGTTTCTCCCGAGTACTAAGGAAAGTAGCTAGTCTAGTGTAAGGCCATGCTCCCCAGACACCCCAGGCTGCTGACAAGCCCCAGAAATGCATTGTGGGGATGTTCAGTCTGGTATCAGATGCTGCTCTCAGGGCTGCGTGAGATCACGGGACAGCAGTCTCACCAGTGCACTTCGGCTTCTGGAGCATGTTGGCCCACCCAGGTGGAGGGCTCAGCATCATCTCCTCCTGGACACACCAGTGCTGTGCACCAGCCCAGCCCTCAGAGAGCCTCCTTCTTCCTTTATGCTGATTCTGCCTCTGGTCTCTTTGGTCTGTTGGAACCAAAAGCATCCAGGTCCTGTCCTAACATACATTGCACGTGGGTTTCCCACATCAGGGTCTGAGGGGATGGGGCTGACGGCTGGGCTGGAAACCCTGAGAGTCTGGCTCTGACCTCCACTGAGCAGGGAACGTTAGCCTGGCACACAGACATGCCCATCCCTTACCCGCAGCACTTGGCAGGAAGAGCTTGTTCTCTTAAGGAAACACAAGTGCCACGGTCCGGTTGCACTCACAGCCCCATCACAGCAGAGGGAACATCAGTGTTTGGCCTGTGCCAGCAGGGCAGGGACTAACCTGGAGTTTCTCTTCCCCATGCAGAAAGCGCCTGGCTGCTGAGCAGACCTGAGGAGCAGAGTCCTGAAGAAGGGCCGGCAAACCTGGAGCCAGCCTGGACTTCCCCAGGGCATTTGGGTGAAATAGAGCCCCTGAAATCTAAGGAGGAACTAATGGCCCCAGAGCCAGGGAAGGCCCCAAAAGCAGAAGGAAGATATACCAGCAAAGCAGGCACGATCTCCCCTGGAGCATGAGAGTGGAGAAGGGACAGCACTCAGAGACAGCCCTGGGCGCAGGGAAGGATTTGTGGCGTTGAAGAGCCACGAGGGAAAGTTCCACTGTACAGAGCC